ATCGCACCCGGATCGTACAAGATTTTTTGATGCTTATCGAACTTGTATCGGAACTGTTTGGAGAAAACAGTAACGCAACCGCAGCCGCTACCGCATTCAAGTTTTACCTAACCAAAACCGTACTCAAAACGTACCCAAATCATAACGACATCAGGCCCGGGAGCAACATCACTGCCCAGCAATCGCGATCGCATTCAACACACAATGTATCGCACTGACAACGTATCAAACAGTATCTGCAAATGATTTAGGATGCTTAAGGAACACCCCTTCGCCCCTCCTCCCGAAGACATCGGGATTTCCTTTACAAAACTATCAATTCATCATGTTGCATCCCCCACCCACATACCCACCCGCCCACACCTCCCCCCCCCTGCCACCACCCTCCGGTCCATGAAAAAACCAATCGCTCACAGCTTTCCCGACCAAAGCATCACTGATCAAGACCAGCTCTCTCAGCTTTCGCATATTGAGCTTTTGAATTCTGCGACCAAAGCTAGCACTCAGTCATGTTTACCAGATTGAGCACTGCAAGCGAGATGCCGAGTAGTGTCCGGACTCGTGCTTCTTGTGCTGGCTTTCCGCCTGAAGCCAAACGTCACCCTCAACCACAAATCCACGAATGCTGCAGACGAGCACAGCACTGCCTTCGAGCCTATCACTGCCATACCTGCAGATTTGTGTTGAAGCTACAGGCCTCGTCGGAGCTCATGTCTTTCAGCAGCGCTTCGACTGCTGCGATGAGGTTTGACACCAGCTTCGATGGTGGTGCAGTACCTCGTCGAATCTCTTGCAGCACTTCGTTCATCAAAAAGAGGGCAACGGTGATTTGGCCAGAAATATGCAAGGGAGGACTTCCCGAAGGGTGGACCGAACCCCCCCCAAGCCGCGTATGGGCTCAAGCCGACCTGAACCCTGATCCCTGCAGCCTAAACCCCTAAACCCCAACCCTTCCACAGCACGGGAGGGGAACTACAATGAAAAAAACCGTTTGTGCAAGCCCCAAGCCATCTTACACGAGAGAAGATAGCCAGGCATATACGGTCCATACATAGTATGCATGCCGGCATCCTTTCGACACGTTTGCAATAAGCTGGTTCAAGCTTGCCTGAATGTGATAGAATACAGGCACGAGTGGGCCCTTCCATGACTCCCATTGGGATGGGATGCTCTGGTTGTGAATAGCAGGGGGTGGAACTTGTTTGCTCGATACCCTCGTGTCAAGTATCGCAGGCTCTGCTTCGGGTTGTTCTTACCAACAGGACGCAACTGCTCCGTGCCTGCATAAAGGATGAAAATGCCTCACAAATATACGGGCATTTGAAGAAAGCAAATCCAGCTTGAACACCGAAAATCAGACACAGCTGTAAACCTTTCCATCTCCGCCAAGGCACCGTCCTCGAAAGGCAAGTCAAGCTGCCGGACACCCCGCCTGTGCTGGCATTCTCAAGCCAGCTCGAAGCGAAGGAAACAGCTGTGCAACTATAGAAAGGTTGCCGGCTCTGCAACACCGGCCTGTCAAAGAAATCACCGTAGGAACCCCCAGCTGGCAAACCTCACATCAACAGACAACTTCACAAGCAGCGTTCGCAAGCCGTGGGAAGGCCTCTTTCGTTGCTGTAGTTTCCTCGCACCAGCAAGGAACAACCTCCCGGCAAGGCAGCTGCGGTCCAGCTCGGCTCGAGATGCTCAAGGCTCTGCACTCGACCCACCTCGCTCTTGCAAGAAGCTGGCAAATGCCGGCAGGTCTGCGGGACGCTTCATAGCACCGCTGCCGTCTGATGTATGAACCTCCAGGTGTCGCGTGCCGAATATTCAAACACACGGAACCCTAGCAAAAGCCGCCATGCAGAACTCAACCCAGCCTTTGTAGGGAGGGTGTGTGTCTCGGAGAACAGAGCGGAAATTGGTTGACCGCGGCTACGCTCGAGGCGCTTCGCGCGCTCTTTCCACACTTGCTTGGGTGTCGCAGCCGGTACTCCGTCGTCGTCCAGTGTGTGAATATGCGAGAAGGACTTGAAGAGGCACACGATATCTTGCTTGCTCTTGCAAGACATTGGTGAAAAGATGGCACCTGGATCTGAGATTGACTTTGGTAAGCTGTTGGCGCTGTGCTCTGAGGGACCAGTGATTGCGGTGGAAGGAGAGTCGGGGACCACGTTGTGCATGGCATGGACTGTATGGCACTTTCGAATTGGATCTGGCCGCTTGGAAGAATCCTGGCAAAGCAAGCCAACAAGATGAACGCACGTTCAGATCATGTCGATTAAGAATCAGTCCTCAACCGTCGTCACGGGATCAGCCGCTATCCAGAAGCGGATTGAGGCTATTTGCTCAAAGCTTTGGCAATCCAAACCCACTGAGAAGACCTTGCTGCTCAGTCCCAGGTCCAAGGAACGATCGCAACTTCACCGACTAACGAAGTGCTTGATGCGGAGCGGTCGCTGGCACAGCATCAAAAGCCGCTGCGGTTGCGCGCCTCTCCTCCGGAGATGGACTGCAAGCATCCAGCGAGACACTAAGCGACAGAAACTTCGAGATGCTCCGACGATCTCCGATTGTTCAGTGAGGCACCCGCCTGGCTTCTGTCTAGCCACCCCTTCGTGACTGCCGTCTCCAGTCCATGGAGACCTCTCCGAGTAGCCCGACGGCCGAGGCATGACGAGACTTGCTAGAAGGCCGAAGCACAATCTTCCAGTCTGAGCGAGTCTGCTGTGAAGTGTGGCTTTGCCTTGGTGCACGAGCAACCGCCACATAGGCTGCAGGAAGTGCAGTGCACAGGACGCGGCTGTGAAGGGTGTCGGAAATCGCAGCTCCACCGGCGAGATTCGTCCACCTTCTTCGTCCAAGAGGCTGATCACCTGCACAGAGACGAAGACCTCTGCGAGGATAGCACCCGTGCACCCGCAAGCCTCCTCAGCAGACCATTGCTGTTCAAGGACCAAGAACGCCCCAAGAAGCAGCAAGGAGTTGGACACCTCGGCAGAAGCATCTCGCAGCACAGTGGAGGATTGGCGGCGAAATCGATGTCAAGACACTGCTCCAGGTCTCCGAGAACATGTCAAGCATATGCATTCTTTGGGATCGACCTGTCAAGGGCTCTGCACCACCCAAAGGGAACAAGACAAGAGGTACTGTAGGCACATGCGAGGCGGGAAACAGAAAGCAACATTGGAAACTATGACGACTCTGACCAACCTCTTGCAAGCTGGTCTGCAGAAACGTGCAGAAGTCCAAAATCGTATCCTGAGCCAAAGATGCAGACTTATGCATCGCAGCTCTAAGGCTCAAAAATGTCTGTGTCTCTTCACCAAGCTTCGAGGCCGAGAGGACCATACAAATGTACAGCTCCGAGCAAAGAGTCGGAGAAGAATGGCAGCTTGAGTCTCAGGTGAGCCTCAGAGAAGACAAGGATAATATATATATATATATATATATACCTATATATATATATATATACCTATATATATATATATATCCATCTTTCGATCTACTTATCTATCTATCTATTTGTCTATCTCTCTCTCTCTCTCTCTCTCGCTCTCTCCCTTTCGCTCTCTCCTCTCTTTCGCCAGGGCTAGGGGAGAGAGGAGCAAGCCCCCCTCACCTCTCCTCCTCTCTATCTCTCTCTCTCTCTCTCTCTCTCTCTCTCTGTCTATCTATCTATCTCTCTTGCTTGCTTGCTGGCTGGGCGTGTGGGCGCAGAGTCGCACGACCCCTTGCCCTGCGCGTGAGCGCTACGCCGTTTTCCAAGTCCGGAGTCGACTACTGAGAAGGTTGGCCAAATGGGTGTCCCCTTTTCTTAAGCTACTAGTATACATGTATCTCTTCTTCTTTTCCACGGAGCATGAGGGACGGGTCAGGTCTGGGCCACATGGGCCCCCCATTTGTTTTGGGGCTTTTTGAAGGGACTGTGATACATGTATATCTCTCTCTCTATCTCTCTCCTTTGCAAGGGATAGGGGACGGGGTCTCCCTTTGCTTGCTCGCTTGCTGGGCGTCTGAGCTTGGGGACACTCGGACCCCTCGCCCTGCGCTTACG